ATAACTCAGCAATGTAATGTAACTGTTAAACCTTGTTCCTAGTCGATGGGTTACGCCAATAATGAGGATACCGGCCTTTCCCTTTTGAGACTAGCACTTAGTGTATGTGTACTGCGTCTCATCAGTCCTCGGTGTTGTGACATCGGCATACTTGAGTGGGTGCTCATACTGGATGAGTTCACTGAACTCCCTCGCCCTAGAAATCTATAAGTGGTTCTCATTCATCGAGTAATAGGTTTCTAAGATATAGTTGTACACCATTAGTCCTTAAGACCCAGACATCACCGTGACTTCACTAGAGGACCGATTGTATCGTGACCTGTCCCTGAGTCCCACCGCGGACCACTCCAAGGGCCAATGTTCGTGCAATCCGAAATCTAGTGTGAAGTCTGTGCATTGTAGTAGGGGATTCGAGCGCTTGAGTAGTCATGGATGTCCTGTGTGTTCTGACGGTTTATAATCCATGGAATCTCTGGCCAGAGTTGATAGTGGGTTGATTAGGGAAATGTGTTTCCCTAAGTCGCAAACGAACGGATTTATAATACCTAGAACGTTCGCACGGTTATTGAACTTTATAAGAGGTCTCGGTGAACCAATGCCTCTAGTTCAATCGGGACATGTGCTACGAAAGGATCGTACTGTACGCTAACTATATCATAAGGTTCTTGCAGGCACTTCACTTGTATCTAGGGAATCATGATGCGTAGTTGCTAGACGCCAATCTTGATTCGTTGGGCACCGATTTGATCGGGGATTAGGTAAAATGAGTTTTACTCTAATCGGGACTCTTGGGAGGAGTTCGCATAAGAACAATGTGTTGTTCGAATCACAAAGAGTTGTGAGCCCACGGCTAGCATACACCTGAACCATTGAGGGTCACACTTCTCGTGTAATATAGATCCTTGATAACAACAAGCATAGATTAATGTGTTAATCTTTGAACGATTGGATGTCGATATGATTGAATCCAAGATTCGTAATTGTGGATTGCGAATCGGAATAAACGTAGAGAAAGAGAGACATGCGGAATTTAGTGAACTTTCTAAATTGGGAAGTTTCCCGATTTAGCAGGTCCACTGAAGTGGAAGTTTCCAATTTTGGAAATTGGAAATTTCGAAGAGGCACTCGTATTGACGAGGACTTTGAGCTCGTCACAAATATAATTTTGTGGACGATCGTTTATTAGAAACGAGGCCGACAAGGGAATGGGCTTAATGCATCAGTGGGTCAAGCCCAATGACTTAAACCCACTAGGGTTGAAAACCCTAGGTATAAATAGACCTCAAACGAGAGTTTGAGATCAGATTTTCAGCACCAAAAACCCTAGCCGCTCAGCCCCCTTCGGCCGTTGCTGCCCCGCCGCGCCACCGCCGACCACCGCCGGAAAACCGCCGGTTTTTCTCCTCTTTTTCCTTCGTTTTATTCGTGTTGTTATCTAACTCGTTTACATCTAGTGCTGTAGTTCGAGTGGGTCGAAAATACGAGGTGAAACCTAATTGGAGAGGAGCTGCTGCCCCGACGAATCCACGCACCGCCGCTGCACCGCCGCACGCGCCGCTACGCCGCTCACGCGCCGCCGTTGTTGCTGCCACGCGCCGCCGCTGCTGCTGCCATTCACCGGCGTTCGTCGCTTGCTGGATCAGCTCGTTCCAGCCGTGAGTTGCAGCCCCGAGGATTGGTAATTTGCAGCTTGTACGTGATTGGTTCTAGGTTTCGATTCGTCGAAATCTCACGCTACAAGAGGTAAATGAGTCGAAACTTTCGTAAATTAATTCGAGCATGTTTGTATGAATTATAATTTATGATTGTGAGTAATATGTGATTACGTGTTTCGATTTCATTGAATGATGAACAAGCATGTTTCGTGATTTTCGGTTTTATGTATTTTTCAATTAAATCGATTATTACCATATGTATGGCGGAAGCGTTAAGGTACGTTGACTATGTGATTAGTTTATGCATGTAATCGAAACTAGTTCGATCTAAAAAATTTTAAATTCCGCTGCGTATACATGCACGATCTCCAACAGTTCATTCACTTGCTCACTCACAGTTTTGCTATCGACCATTCGATAAAATTGGAATTTGTCTACTATGAATTTCCTATATCGCGCATATTCAGACTTGTATTTCTTGGACAAACTATCCCACAAAAGTTTGGCAGTCTTTATAGGACTATAAACTTTGTACAACGGTTCGTCCAAGCAATTCAAGATGTAGTTACGGCATAGGAAATCAGAGTGACTCCACGCATCGATGGCTAGGAAGACTTCCTTGTTATTTTCGGGAGTTTCTCCTTCCTTTGCCTTCGGTGCCTCCTCGTTGAGAAACTTAGCCAAATTTATGGTAGTAAGGTAGAAGAACATTTTGTTCTTCCAAGTCGCAAAGTCCGTGCCCGTGAACTTATTTGGTTTTTTGTCCGCGCCGACGACCTTAGGGGTGGTATCATTGATTGAAGCCATCTACACAAATTTATTGAAATGTGAAACTGAATTTATTCTAAACTTTTAATCTCAGAATTTTAGTTTTGAAAAACAATGAACTGAGACGATAAATTCAAGATGTAGAAAATTCAAGAAATTTTCTACGCAATATGGATTCAATACAATAGTTAAAACTAAAATTAGTTTCAGACCTTATGCAATTTCTTAAAGTCAGACTTTTGATTCTAATGCAAAATAAAATAATGTGATTGCACACAAAAGTGCACTTACAAAATAATAATTTTAAAACATCAGCAGTCTAAATATTTTGGCATAGAAATTACCTTTTCTACCAATTAGCCCAGTAAAGAAGATTTCGGCACAGACATTTACAAATAATCAAATCTTTATATATGTTTACATTTACAGAAACTTTGAAATCAATTTTTTATTTTATTTTCTTCCCAAATCACTCAAGCATTTACAATATATACACGCATATATTGTGAACAATCAACGTATATTCAATATGTAATAAAGCAAATTTTGAAAAACGTATGAACCTCATCACAAGTTTCGAAAATCAGATTTCAATTCACGCAGAACTCATAAAAATTAAATAATAGATATTGTCTTAAGATTGTTGGTATATATATATATATATATATATATATATATATATATATATATATAACAATCTGCGTAAACGAAAAATACTTACTTGTTTGTCGAAAAGAGGAATTGTGAAAACCACAAAGAACGATCGAGGCTTGCCAAAGCAATTCCCTTAAGACAATATTTCCGGGCTGTCAACGGTGCACAGTCTCTTCCCGGTAGTCTCCCAAGGTACAACGATCGGTTGTCGAATATTTGCACGAATATTCGACCCACGGCGAACTTGAACAATGAACGGAACTTTGACGAAGAGAAAGAAAAATATGAAGAACTATCTCGTAAGCCGATTAAATTCAGTACATAATTGGCCAGATTCTGCCTTTATTTATAGGTTGTAGAGATCCATTCACAGAGGGTTGCAATGGTTGGAAAAGAAGCAGAAGGTTGTGTCTCTTCTTTTTACGAGTTCAAAAAAGCGTAGGAAAATTAATTGGTCATGGGCCAATTAATTAATTTGGTTTGGGCCAAGTATTTTATTATTTGTATTTTGGTTCAAATAATTTGATTAATTACTAAATGTCCCCAAAAGTAATATTTGTGGACACCTAAACCCAAACTAGTCCTACCACTCGATCACATCGAGTGCACATCTTTTGAACTTTAACCATTTACTCAAGACAATTTTCATTCACTTTACTTCATGATTATGATCAAGTAAATAAATGAAATTAATCTTTACATAATTTAATTAATATTACTCAATATTAATTATTGGAAATCATGAAAATCCCAACAGTTTATTGTGTAAAAGGTACTTGCGTTTGCCCATAACACTTGTTCTCTTATACTTCCAAAAGAGTCGCACTATTTCCACCATAAAAATTTCTCAGACCACCGTAACAATTAATTTTATAATTTTCTTTTACTTCTTCCTCCATCCACTATCTTCGCTTTCTCATTGTTTTATTTCTTTTTTTTTTCTCTTCAAAATCAGTTACATCCACCAAATTTATTTGCAACTAAATTGATTCCCTCCATTTGAGCCCTTCGACTTCAAGTAATCAGTTTAAATTTATATTGGATTTAATACAATTTTTTTTACCCCTAAATTGATATGATGATCTTTTATATTTTCAAATTAGATCTAAATAATAACGGTTCCAGATAATCGCATCAGTGTTCGTCATACTTAAACACCTAATGCTTCATTTTCTTGCCCTCAAACTTTTACAGATTTGCTTGTTTCGCGAGCCCTAAAGCTATTGATTGAAAATTAATACGAATATGGAACACATATTGATATGCCTAATTGGGCCAACCCAATGGGCCTACAAATGCTCTAATAATTGGGCCCACTACGCGAAAGTCCAAACACCTTCAAAATAAGGCTTGGGGTCAGCAAAGCAAACCCAACCCAATAAACGACATATAAATAGAGGTTTTACTCATTTTATTAAGGTACGTCCTATTAACTGAGCAATACTACAATACGTATTCTCTGGACTATTTCTACTATCAGCACGTCTGACTTGAGCGTCGGAGGGGTTTCCGCCTAGTTCATGTGTTCTATGATCGCAGGTACCTCAAGATCATCAAGTTGTCAAGCTACTGATCTGCTTTGCTCTCCCAATTCATTTTCTACACCACCCTAGGTGAGCTATATTTTAGCATCATCATTTTGGCGCCGTCTGTGGGAACGATGCAAACCAGATCACGTAGCCAACAAGATCCTCCTGAGGCGTCTGCTCGGAGAGAAAATGACACAGCTAACAACCTCCCAGTCCGTGGAGGCTCTGGCTTGCCACCTCCTCCACGTGCCGCGGATCCGCCTCGCGAGGTTCAGGTGATCCCCCCTCGGGACCCACCACTCGCCGATCCGCCACTCCCTGTTCCTCGAACGGTTCAAATAACCGAGGATGCGCTCCAACGGATAATATATTTGCGCTCCAATACATCGCCACGATGGGAGCAAATGCTCCCAACGCGATACCAGCACCTTCTCCACCTGTGGAGCCACCTATGGCACCACCGCCAGTCCAGAACCAAATAAGTGTCTCCTCCTCTACCTCGGACCCACGGTCCCGAATGCAACAATCTACTCATCGCCAAGATGCACGAACTGAGCGACGAGACCGACGTTCACCTTCAAGAGGCAACACCTCTCACCAACGAGCTCCTCCACACAATGGTGGAGAGGTTGAAATTAGCGGTCAGCTATCTCGCTCAAATCACCTTCCCCACATAGGTAATACCATTGGTGGAAGGACAATACCTCCAATAAGGCACAATCCCTTCACTGTCGCAATAATCAATAAGATACTACCCCAAGGGGTAAAGGTCTCGAGTCTACCGCAGTTCGATGGAACTGGTGACCCACAAGAGCATCTTGAAAAGTTCTACGCCATGGCAGATCTATATGGCCCAACTGATGCGGCAATGTGCAAGATGTTTCGCACAACGCTCTCCGAACGAGCGTTGAGCTGGTTCAACTCCTTGCCCACTGGGTCAATTGAAGCTCTCTCCCAACTAACAGATCGCTTCACCCACCATTTCGCTATCAACAAGGAGTACGCAAAGACTCCCGCGTACCTCTTCACTATCACCCAGAGAGAGGGCGAGACCCTCCGCAACTACATTCAACGATTTGTAGAGGCATCTCACAAAGTTCCTAACGTGGGGGGAAGCATGCTCGCTGGAATCATTCAACAAAACTTGAAGGAAGGTAGATTCAAGGAATCTATTGCAGGAAGACCTCCAACCACTCTGGAAGAGTTACTAAGTCGCGCTGAGAAACACGTGCGCATTGAAGAGGCTTCGGCCCTCCCTCCTCCCAAGAGGAAAAGAGATGAAGATTACTTCAACACCCGGCGACGAGATGGCCGACGAAAATCGTCAACATCTCATTGATAATCTCCTTATACTTCCAATGATGTCAATGACACTTGGAGTCTATCGAGCCCATAACATTGTTCGTGAGCACATCATCCTAAACTGGGGGGCTATCATACCTTAAGGATGATACATCCCCTCACCTCTCGACATCAATTGAACGAAACACTTCATCATCTACTTAGTACAAGTTTATTTATTTCGAGCGATTCGCTCCCTACTTGTTTATTTACCTTCGCCTCAAGTAGGCTCGAAACTTCACCTTTTCGATCAATGAATAAAGCTAGTTATTTTCTTTACTCTCGGTGTTATCGCTCTTTCAACACATAATTATTAGCTCAAGTCAACATAAAATCTGGGGGCTTACATCTGCCCCCAAAATATTTCGTTTGCCAAGGGTTATCTAATCCCTGGGGGTTTACAGTGCCCTCAAAACATTTCGCTCGCCAAGGGTTATCGACTCCCTGGGGGTTTATAGTGCCCCCAAAATATTTCGTTCACCAAGGGTTATCGACCCCATGGGGGTCTATCTCTGCCCACCTCGAACGGTTCAGATAACCGAAGAGGACCTTCAGCGTACGATCGCCGAACCTTCAACAAGATCAAATTCTACTTGCTCCTCTAATGGTTCAAATAATCGATAAGGACCTTCAGCGTACGACCGCGAAAGTTTCAACTCGTGTTGCCACTGAAGCAATGGCACAACCGTGCGCATCCACCTCAGACCATAGGTCTCAAGCGCCTCACTCTAAAGTTGGGGGTTATCCTATCCCAAGGTGGGCATCACCTTTACCTTTCAACCCCAAATGGGTGCACATCTCATCTCAAGAGACGAGTATAATCTCCCTACTCAAAAAATAGAACATCCCCATCCCAAGGCGGGCATCACCCTTACCTTTCAACCCCAACTCGGTGCACATCCCATCTCAAGAGACGAGTATAATCTCCCTACTTAAAAAGTAGAACATCCCCAAAGAGGTGAACATCAACCACCTAAAAAAAAAAATAAATAAATAAAGAAGATGAAGACAAAAGAACAAAAAAAAAAGAAGAAGAAAAAAAAAAAAAAAATGCTGACCAAGCACGCGCGCGTGCAGCACATGCGCCAGACGCGCGCCGCCCTCGGTACGCGCGCGCGCTGGGAGCAGCAAAAACAAAAAAAAAAAAAAAAAAAAAAAGGAAAATGGATGCAGCGCGTGCACAGCATGCGCGCTTGGGGGCAGCGCACATGTGCAAAATTGCACACCTCGATCCGCGCGCACGAGTGAGACAAAAAGAGAAAAAAATAAAAAAAAATATAATTAAAGAGGGCAGCTAGCAGGCACGCACCTGCCAATGCTGCGCACCCAGCACATCATTGCCATCCTTTTTACACTTTGTCGTCAGCTCCTTTCATGACCCCGCGCGCGCCCCCCTACACCATATCAAATTGCGCGCGCGTCTTCCCATACCACATTAATTCGCGTGCGCTTCTACTCCACTCACCTAATCGCGCGCAAATTTTACTACTCTCCAACAAATCGCGCGTATATTTTGACGTGATTCACCAAATTGCGCGCGAATTTCAACACGCTCCACCAAATTGCATGCCGATTTCACCTCACTTCACCAAATCGCGCGAGAATTTCAACGCGCTATACCAAATCGTGTGCGCTCTCCAAATAAAAATTATTATTTCTCCATGCCACACCAACGATTAACGAAACACTACAGCACCGATCTACTCTCGACACGATCCGATGCCCTTTTCGACTTGGCTCCCACATCGACCCGAGAGTGGGGGGCTTGCGAGACAACTCCCACGAGGAGCCAACTCGCTCGGAATTGCAACCCGTAGCGAGACAACTCCCACGAGGAGATAACTAGATCGGTCCTATAACCCGTTGCGAGGCAACTCCCACGAGGAGCCAACTCGTTCGGTCCTACGAACCCGTAGCGAGACAACTTCCACGAGGAGCCAACTCACTCGGCTCTACAAATCTGTTGCATGGCAACTCCCACGTGCAGCCACCTCACTCGATAAAAAGACCTGCAGCGAGACAACTCTCACGAAGAAACAACTCGCTTGGTACTACCAACCCGCAGCGAGACAACTCCCACGAGGAAACAACTCGCTCGGTACCACCAACCCGCAGCGAGACAACTCGCTTGGTACTACCAACCCATAGCGAGACAACTCCCACGAGGAGACAACTCGCTCAGTACTACAAACCTGCAGCGAGACAATTCCCACAAGGAGCCAACCTTGCGAGACACCTCCCACGAGGAGCAAACTCGCTCGGTTCTACATGGCCGTTGCGAGGCAACTCCAACGAGGAGACAACTCGCTCGCATTTCACTACACAATTACAAGCTCAAGTTAGCACGATTACAACCTTAGAAACACTTAGAGATATTATGATAATCTATATAGCCTGGCCAGCTTGATTACTCAAATTTCTCTACTTGTTTTCGACAGGTCCTTCATTAAAACGTGGCCACGGTCCAAACATACTTACAACCTACGAGGTCTAACAAGGGGCACGATCCCCATAAAAAAAAAAAAAAATCTTGAGAGCTTGATCCCCTCCTCAAGTACATCACGCACAAGGCTATATGTAAACACATACGAGCAACGCGTCGAAACATTGACAATGTCAATAAAAAATAACTCATACGAGGAGATTAGTTGATCCGTGCTACTACATTATCGCGAGACAACTCCCACGAGGAGATAACTCACTCAACTCTATTAGCCCGCGACGAGACAAATCCCACGAGGATATAATTCGCTACTACATCGTCGCGGGACAACACCGACGCTCAAGTAACTTATATCGCGACAACTTGGTTGGACTACGCGCCAACGCGCCTTCACGCCCCTCCGACACACGCTCCAACGCATTTTCGCACATCATCAGGCCATATGCCAAAGATCGACCACTACAATTTTTACTCTCGACACGATCTGAAATCCATTCCGACATGGCCCCCACATCGACTCGAGAGTAGGGGGCTTAATGATATGCCTAATTGGGCCAACCCAATGGGCCTACAAATGCTCTAATAATTGGGCCCACTACGCGAAAGTCCAAACACCTTCAAAATAAGGCTTGGGGCCAGCAAAGCAAACCCAACCCAATAAACGACATATAAATAGAGGTTTTACTCATTTTATTAAGGTACGTCCTATTAACTGAGCAATACTACAATACGTATTCTCTGGACTATTTCTACTATCAGCACGTCTGACTTGAGCGTCAGAGGGGTTTCTGCCGGATCAACCCCCGGCTTAGTTCATGTGTTCTATGATCGCAGGTACCTCAAGATCATCAAGTTGTCAAGCTACTGATCTGCTTTGCTCTCCCAGTTCATTTTCTACACCACCCTAGGTGAACTATATTTTAGCATCATCACATATATACATAAGAGTAATTTTCGTTAATGGCGTTTTGTTAAAGAGGCACATGAAGAAACAAAACATGGAGATTTCATTGAGAACATGAGATACAAACAATTAAAATGAGAAAAAAATATTTTAAACTTTGTTTACATTGGTCTCAGAGAAAATGAGATACAAATGAAGGTGGTGGTGTATGGAAGAAAATAAGTTACGGGTAGAATAGTCTTTTTAATTAAAATTAATTTGAAATTTAAAATTATGGTGGTGAGTTGAAAGTTTTTTGTGGTGAAAATAACACGACTCTTCAAAACCTGTCATGTACGCCTCAACTAAAAAGACAACCTATTTGACTATAAATGGTGTTAGTGGTGTAAATAAAGTTGTAACTTTACTGGATAATCCATTTTTTTAAAAGTGAATTGAAAACTAATTTTGATTTCGTTAAAAAAAAAAAAAAAATCAAAAGTCCGAATGATTTTTTTTTTCTTTTTTTACTTTTAGAGAATTTGAATTTATAGTTTTCTTCTCGAATGGATTATTATCAACCGAATAGTTGGTGTATTTCACCTTTATTTATTCGTTGGGTAAAAGGTACATTTACCCTTGCGCATAATACTTACGTTCTTATACTTCCTTCGAAAATTGTCTTTTACGCCTCAACTACGAAGTCAACCTATTTGACATCAAATGGTGTTCTTAGAGGTGTAAATAAAGTTGTAACTTTAGCGAAAAAATCCATTTTTTTTCAAAGTAAGAATCTAATTCTGATTTTGTTCAAAAAAAAAATTAGAAATTGGAATGATTATTATTATCATTTTTTTTTTCTGAAATCGAAAATTTTGATTTTCGGATCAAAGTCGGTGAAATTCGGGATTTGTATTTTTTTTCGTCCCCTAGATATTGATATTTTACGTTTAATTTTGGGAGACATCAGGACTTTATGATTTTCGGGATAAAATTGATTAATCAAGTGAAACTGGGGCAAAATAAAATATAGATAAAAAAAATGGGGATTGAAAGTAGGGGCTGTTCATGGGCCGGTTTAGCCAACCAACCAACCCATTTTTGACTCATATTTTTTGATGGATAATCAACCATCAATCAAACCATTCAAGTTGTGTCGATAATATCAACCAACCCATGTATAGTTGAGTCGAAAATGGTTTATAATATGCTAAAAAGTTGGTTCATCGGATAATATCGATCATCCAACTTTGTTTATTATTTATTAATTTTATTGTTTATCTAATATTGACTAACCTCAAAACACAGAAACCTAATTTATGGAGATTAACTATTTTGATGTATTGAATTCTTGTTCACTTAGTTCATGCTAATTGAGAATCACATAACATTTCAATATATTGTGTCGTATTTTAGACTTTTTTTTTTATGGTGAACTATTTTAATTTTAAGACACATGAGCTAAAATATTTGAATTTATTATAATATTGCTGAACTATTTACATTTACACATATAACTTATAATATTTTAATTTTTTTATTAAATATTGTTGGACTAATTATTAATTATAATAATATACTGTAATATAATATTAAAAAAGTTGATTTTTTTTTAGAAATGTGAACCATTAATCAACCCACCGACCGACCCACAAAGTTGGATGTCAAACTAGCATCCAATTCATCTAAGTTGGGTCGATAATGGTTTTCAATATTTACCATTATTGGTTAGTTGGGTTGGGTCGGTTTAATGCCCGGTAACCAACCAACCCAACCCATGGACAACCCTAATTGAAAGGGTTATTTTATTAACATTCAAATTACACTGACAGACCAAAACTGGAGAAAAATTGGGAGGAAAAATAATATACGATTAGTATTTGGGTCAAAAGTACAATTATACTATATTTGATAGCCATAAAAGATAAAATCATAAAATCATAATCATCTTTTAGTTATCTTGCTGATTATTCGTTAAAAAAATCAATGGTTTTATTTGGAGGGGTTCATTGTATTTAACCTACGATTCTAATTTAGATACATACATTTTTCGGTAATTATTTTGATCGGTCAGTCCAAATGCCCACGCCACCGTTCGCCGCCCACGCCACCGTCGCCGCCACCGACTTGACCAAAGCCACACCTCCGTCTTATTATTATACTGTGGACAATGCTGAGTTGGTGATTTCAAAATTTCCAGATTGTGAGACATGGAAGTAATAATTTAGGTAAGATTATATTCAGATTCAATTTTATTTCTGTACAATATAATATTGAATTGATACTCATCTTTTTTGCACTAATTAATTCCTTTTTCGTTTGTCGATCAGTTTGGACTGTTCGTGAGATTATGAAATTCACTATTTGTCTGATTGTATATTCTATTTTTTTGGTTTTCAAGCTAGAACAAAGAGACTGAAATTTTCAAGTAGTGTAGTAAACAACTCTTGCTTATAACTATCTAATTCTTCAAGTTCGTTCGTTTTCACCGTGGATTTTAATTTGAAGTTTATCTCGAACTGTTTTTCATTTCCAGAAATTTTATTCATATTTTCCAGCCGCATTTGGCATTTTCTGATTCAATGCCGTCCGAATTCCGATCCAAATATCAAGTTTTTATATGTTAATTTGCATCAATTCGCAAGTTGTTGAAATTCCAATAACTGAATGGTGCGCGAACGATGAAAATTGTCATGATATGCATTTTGTAGACGAAGATATTCATAAAATGTTAGTTGTATTATTGGCTTGAAAAGAGAAGAAATGCTTTACATTCTTCTACGTATGCATACATACATAATACATTCCCTTTATTGTCATGTCTCTTCTCTTATTATTCGCTAGTTTTCGTTCTCTCTTTCTACATAAGAAAATGCCAGTTAGTAAGTTCTTAAGTTCGTTTTTTTTCTTTTAATTCATTGCAATTTTATTTGCTATCCAGAATCTAAATAGAAAATAATGGTGTTGGCTAAGAGCGATCAGGACTGAAATAAAATGCCAAAATACCGAAGATCAATCAAGACCACCGATAGCAATTACTTTTTCAGCATTACCAAAATAAGTTCAGTATATTTTACAAGCGGTTCGGTTTTGGTTAATGAAATGCCAAAGAAAATTTTCTATATTTTTTCCTCATTTTTTCAGAATATTCAATTCTACCCGATCCGGACAAATTTACGGGCCAAACCAATTTTTTTTTCTTTGGTATTAAGTTTGGCAAAATGCAAACTGATATTTCTGTTTTCTAATGGACAGGCCTATTAGCAGTGGATATTGGGCTTACGTACTCTTTCGAAAATCCAAGAATGGCTAATGAAGAGTCCACAAAACATAGTCAGGTAATGTCTGACCTTTCCAATATATTTTATATCTTGCAAAATCGTATACTGGCTAAAAATGGTTAATGCTATTACGTTAAATGAGCTGGCATGTTGGTGGATGGATAAGGCACGATTTATTGCGAATCGCTGCATTGACTGTCAGTCTTATCACGGCAGATTTTCTCACCACTATATAACCTTCGTTTTCCCTGCCCCCATTCATTCCCATATCGCCATGTCTCTATTTTCCTTTCAGTTTTCTACTTCTCACCATTTTCTCAGATTTAAGGCTTGTGCTTTATCGTTAGTTGAAAATAAGATGAGATTTGTGTTTGATATTTGTTTTTTTTTATTTAGTTTTTGAATGCTTCTTATCCCCCCCCTTCCCCCCCCCCCCCCCCCCCCATCTCGTTAGCTGTATTTGAAATTCAGTTTTTTATCTTCTAACCATTTTCTCGGATTGAAGGCTTTTGATTATATCTAGATGAAAATCAGATGACACATCTGATTGGATATATATGATTTTTTTTTTGAATCTTATATTTTCTGATTTTTCATTCCTCCCTCCCCTAGTTGATTAACTCATTCATTACTTTCTGTTCTATTTTCATTCATTTCTCTGGAAATTCTTGAAAACATGGCAGCTTTTACCATCGATTAGAGTGAGATCTTGATTTGAAGATTAATTTTCTAGGACTAGTTTTTATGTCCTAGTTATCTTGCTCCTCTTTCTGATAACTTTTTTCTCTCCTTGTAAAATTAAACTTATCCGGTGCATAATCCACCACTCAGGAGTGAATCTCCATTTATTTTGCGAAATTAGATATTCAAAAGTGAGAACCAAGCGTTCCTATGTTATATGTTAATATCTTCGTCTTTCGGTGTGACAAACAAAAATGAACTCAAACAATTGTCCTCAGCGTCACATGTGTGGTAAAGATGTAGTTGTTAGATACATCAAATGCAACTTGAAGGATTATTGCGTTCTCAGCGTCACTAAGTTGTGAATAAGTTTGTTGTTGAAGATACTTTTCATTCCAGTGTTTCAGTTTTATGTTAAGCTACTAAAATTACATCTTTTGCATCTGGAAATTCTTTGACTGGAACCAATCTTGTGACGTATTTAGCTCCTTATTTAACTTGGAGCTATCTAGGCTTCCAAATTGTCACAGCCGAAGAATTTCTACGACACAAAAGATTAAAGTAGTCAAACATTTGAGCATTGAAGTATAAAATGTCTCCAACAACAAAAGTTCTCAACATTTAATAATGCATGGAACGGGATAGTTCTTCTTATTGCATCTGGTGCATCATAAAACTATTTCTTCATCATTCTTGTGGCATTGATGACAATTGTTTGAGTCACTTTATCATACTCGAAGACAAAAATGTTAACATCACTCACTTTTGAATATCTTGTTATGTGAAGAAGTTGGAGAGAAAATGAATTATATGAGATGTGTTATTTCACTTTCAGTTCTCATTAGTACCCCAATCGATGTTGCTATTAGAGACCTTCTGATTTTATTACACTAACAGCCATGTCGGATGCTATCTTTACTTCCTAACTTGGTGCCATCTATGCTTCCATCTTGTTTAGAACGTAAAAACTTCTGTTGAATTTTTTGTTAGAAGCTTCTTTCATTATACTCGCAACGCACTTGGATAGATGCTGGCACACATATATGATCACATTCTTCCGTTGGTCTTTAGTTATTGCATCGAGAAGAAGTCAAATACATATATCTGACTTTCAAAGTTTTTAGTGTTAGAAAAGTATTTTTCATATTTCAAATATGACTGAGAAATGAGTGTATATATGATGTGAATTACTTACTGAGTCAGGAAAAATTAGTATTTCGCGTTTTCTGTTCTGACAAAATAATATTTTCTCCTGCACAATAACATTAATCTGTTTCGCTTCTAAGCAACAATAAATTTATAGCACCTCGCACGCGTTATCGCATAAATATTCTGCACCATTAAACAGTGATGCATCTAAAAATCTTCACGATTTGCTTATTATTGTAAAAAGATCTTCCTTATTGAGTATTTAAGGATGTGGTAATATTTGACACATTACAGTTATAAAAGATATGCAAACGCTATGCGAACTTCACGATGGTCAATTCCTACCTACAAATGCTACTCAAAACAATGAGAAATTTATAGTGGAGAAAGATAATTTTGTATGAAGCACCAATTCTGCATGTTTTGACAATGAATGATGTACTATCAAATTGAATATGTCCTCGTTTGGTTGTTACAGTGCGGTGACCAAGATAAGATTATTGTAATTTTATTAGGGTCCAATTGTATAAATGCACCAATTAATCTATAAGTTAAGGGCACATTTTTTTTTTCAATTTTTAGATGCTCCCAAAAATTATTGAATTAACTACTGTAAATATGAAATAAGATATAATTAATCATGATCTATCTTGTTAACCAATGAAGCCAAAATATTCTTGAGAGCGAAATTTCTTTCTCCTGGGAGACTTTGATAATTGCTTGTAATTATTCATTATTGAACATAATTAATTATGGTATTGAAGAATGCTAATTCTCAAATTGTGTTATGTATTTGTTGACACTTTTTATGCGCCATGGTAATAAAATAGTTGAAGTTTCAATAATCAAAAGTTTTAGATTTCTATCATTTGTATGGCTTGTGCATAAGGAACAATGAATATGGTTAGGATATGCATCTTGAACAATATAGCTTATAGTCGAGAATGGAAATTAAGAACTTTCATTTTCAGGATATTTTGTGTTATAGTATTTGGTGGTAGCTTTATTAGAGATATATTTGGTCAATGAGCTTGCATTTGTTTTTATGTATTGGGTGGTTAACTAGTTTGTCCGGAAATACATATTGAAGTGCTGAACCACACAGCGCTGTTTTAAGAAGCAGTGTACTTTAGTTGCATAATGCTCTTACTCAGAAATAATCTCCTAGTTGGTAGAAGCAGCTTATATTGCATAAAAACTTTTCTGATTAGCTAACTTTATTTTTCAGCTTCAAGATTTCATGAGAAAGAAAAATGGGAAACTAACTCTTGGTACACTGGACATCGTAGTTGCATCTTTTTTTTTTCTTCGCTTTTTCGGGTTTAAAAAAATAATTGGAATAATTTTAATGTATAGGGATTACTCACGATTTAATGAAAATGCGTCAGTAGTAAATCTGTAGGTGCAAAAAAATAGCTCATAAGCTGTTTGATCTTAATATGGTATAGAGACTACAAAAGTTTGGGTTGAGTTTCAAAGTTATATGCATCTAATCAAAACAACATCAGATATCTATCATAACCTTTTTGCTTATCGAGCAGAAATCAAGCTAAACTTGATTAATATCCTATAGCTAATATCAAAATTGAACATTCCTAGAAAATTAATGCTGAAATGGTATACTTAGCAGTTGGGTAGTTGTGTACGGTTTGGTAAACTGACCGAACCAAAACCAAAGCTTTAAGTTGTACCAAATATCGAACTGCTCACCTGTTTGATATTCGTTTTCCATATTTCACAGTTTTGGTTCGGTACTGATACTTTTGGTTTATATTTACGCTACTGAACTGTGCTTTTAGAAAATCCTTCTTTGTACATATATGATTGAAGAAGAGATTTTTCCATGTATACATTCATTCCTGGTATTGTCACGTGTCTTCTTATTATAGCTAGTTTTTGTTCTTTTCTTCCATCAAAGAAAATGCGAGTTAATAAGTTTGAAAGATTTTTTTTTGTTTAATTCATTTACAATTTTACATGTAACCCAGAATTTAAATAGATAATAATGGTGTAGGCTGGAAGAGCAATCAAGACCAAGATGAAATTTTGGAAATTTCCAAAGAGCAATCAATACCAAGAATGGCGGTCCGTTTTCAGTATTGCCAAAATATGTTTGGTATAATTTAGAAGCTGCTTAGTTTGGTTGATGAAATATAATTAGTTGTCTCATTTGTCAGAAAATTCAGTTCTCCCGGGATCTTTACGAATTTACCGAACCACACCAAATTGTTTGGTTTTGGGCATTAAGTGTCGTAAAATGCAAAATGATATTTCTGTTTTCTAATTTTGGGTTTGCTGAATGCACAGGCCTATTAGCAGTGGGTATTGGGCCTAGATACTCTTTCAGAAATCCAAGAAATGGATCGTAGAAGTTCAAAAACGTCGTAAGGTACTGTCAAGCCCGCCCAATATATTTTATGTCCGTATATTGCTGCCAGCTAAGAACTTTTAATGCTAATACGTCAAATGAGTTGGCGAGTTGGTGGATGGATATGTCAGAATTTATTGCAATTGACTGTCGACCTTATCACGGCAGATTTTCTCACCATTATATAACACGCATTCTCCGTGCCCCAATTCATTCCCATATCTCCGTTCCTCTATTCCGCTTACAGTTTTCTTCTCATCATTTTCTCTGATTTAAAACTTTTGCTTTATTTTTGGTTCAAAATCGGATGAGATTTGTGTTAATAGTTGTAAGTTTTTAATTTGATTTAGCTTTTGAACGACGCCAATATCTTTTTCTTATTCTTGTTACAACCCCCCCCCCCCCCCCAACAAGCTGCATTCAACCTTCATTTTTCCATCGTGTAATCATTTTCTCGGATTCAAGGATTTTGATCTATTTCTGGTTCAAAAACAAAGGACATGCCTGATTTGCTTGCATCATTTTTTTTATTTTTTATTTTGAATTTTGTAATTTTCGATTTTTCATTCTCGGTCGCCTAGTTGTTTCCGTCCATTTCTTTTTGTCCAGTTTTCATGCATTTCTACTTTGGATTAATGATAGATCTCATCTCGATTAGTTTTCTAGGACAAGATTTTGTGTCATAGTTATGTTGCTTCTCTTTCTGATGATTTTTTTTTTCTTGTAGAGTTATCGATGAAGAAATATCCTATGCTGGAAATATGCAGAGGACCGAGATCGATTTTAAGGTAAATTTCGTGAAGTCAATTATGACAGATCTCTTAGAATCAAAGAATGATAAACACAGAACAACAGGGATCTGTTGTTTTTGAAAAAAAAAATCCAGTCTTCAGTGACGAAACTTAACCTAATTAACTTAATCAACAGATCTAACAGTAGTATATTTCTTTTTGAGAGGGTTATATCCGGAACTGTAGATCTCTTATAATTTCACTTTCGTAAAGTAAGATATTCAAAAAGTGAGGACAATGAGTTCCTATGTTAACATGTTTGTTTGTCTTTGGGTATGACAGAGGGAAACAAGCGACTCAAACAACTGTCATCAGTGCCACAATAAGGACAAAGAAAATGTCCCAGAAGAAGTGTGTCATCAATTGGTGCAAGGTAACTCGACTTCTCTACTATGATTCACCCAATCAATCGAAAAAATTGTAATTTGAAATATGCAGTTGGATGACACCTTTGCTCATTTTGCATCCTTTTGTTTGTTAGAGTATTGACAAATTAATCTTCTAAAAATTATGATGTTTTTTTCACAATTCGTATAGCTTGTTTCTCAATCGTGGTCGTAATTGTTTCTAGGTCGTGATTTGTGCTTCACATTTCAATTAACTCACAATGCGCTCATAAATATGTTGTAGAAGTCTGCATGTGTGTTTGTCTGCTGAACTATCCTTTAGTCAATACTCTGTTTGGGTTAAGTGTTTCATTTCAAGAATTTGAGGATGTGAAGATTTTGTTGTGCTCTCAATATATGTCGTCTCTACCCTGTTTGTTTTAACAACCTTAAATATGGGGTATTGTAATAATTCAATATTGGGACTACGACATACCTTAAATATCGTCTCTATTCAATGACTTATTTTATTTTATTATTTACCAGTAATACTTAAGAAGTCTGTTTGTACCGCCTTTTGAGCATGGGAATGTACGCCAGAATCCAGCTCAGCCAGGGGAGAAACCTAGTATTTCACAAATGAGGAGGGAGTTGGAGCGGATGAAATTGGCTCTCGAAACGAAAGCCCACCTTTTTCAACCCCATATGAAAGACTAACTCTTAAAAGAGATTTTGCTCCTCACTGACAAAATAAAATCCAGTGCTGGCGGCTCTTCTTCGTCTTAGTGACAAAATAAACGAGCGGCTAAGGAGGCATTCAAATGCTTGTCTTTCAAGCTATACACACATCAAGCTGGATACCTCAACATGCCAGCGAAAACACCCAAGAAGTCGTTGAAGCCAAACTTGAGGCCAAAGATATGCTTTGGTTATGGAGTTGACGAGGACCTTGGCTTCTGTTCTGCAACCAAGCTTCAATATGCTCTTTCAGATATGGTACATTTGCACCATCTATACTCATCGGAATTTTCATCAGAATTCTCCGCAGATGAAAAGGAGTGTGTTGCAGGTGATTAAATTTACTCTTGAAAGAAAACGGAGAATGTTTTCAACCGCATATGAAAGACTATCTTTTAAAATAGATTCCACGCCTCGCTAACAAAATAAACTCCATTTGCAGAGTCGTATTCGTCTTAGTGACAACATGAAAGAAGGAATTTGCATTTATATTATTTTTCGTGCAATGGATTATCTACTGATGAGTTGATGTATTTGTATATATTTTTGGGTAAAATATACTTTACCCCGTGTAATAAGCTCAATCGAGAGTCGTATTCGACATAGTGACAACATGAAAGAAGGAATTTGTATTTATATGTTTTTTTTTCTAATGAATTATTTACTGATGAGTTGATTTATTTCAATTTGATTTGTTCATTGTGAAAATACTGTGTGTATATATTTTTGGTTACTATGGTTTATGGAATATTTACCGATTTGTTCGACCCTACCTCCGGTGATAAACACCGGGTGAGTCTGTTGCCACGTGTCTCTTTTTTGTATTTTATAATAGATTTCCCGCTAGGGTTTACCATTAGGAGTTTTAGAAAAATAAAAAAAGGAACACGCGGCAGCAGAAGATCCACCCGGTGTTTATCACCGGGTGTAGGGTCGAAGGAACCATATTTACCCCCTTGTAATTAAAAAAATGTCATTTACCCCTCAACTATTAAGTCAACCTATTTGACTACTAAATGTAATTTTATTCTCAAATTTTACATCATAAAAAGGCTGCGGCTATATGCAATACTAATTTCACTTGTGCAACACCAAATTAAAGAAAGATTCCAAAAGATTCTATTTTATTAAGATGAAATGACAAATATACCCGTAAATTAAATTGATTGTTATTTGCTCATGCAAGACACACACAAAAAAAAGCTAGCCTCCAATGGAGGGAAAATGACTAAACGAAAATTCTTCCGGTCTATGACGATTAAAAGTTAACTGTGGTAGAATCTTTATAAAACTACGACTGATAATTCCAAATGCCAAGGTAATCACGATGATACTCAGCCCAAAACGATCTAGGCAAATCCACATCTCGAAAAAACTCCTACTGCCGGTGAAAATGAGTTAAATCATCTAAACGATTGACAATTTTTTTTATTTTGTCCGTGGGCGTGGGTAAAAATAAACTTCATCGAGTAAGAGGCATGTAATCTCGAATATGGTACTCCAAAACCGAGCTTATGCATTTGAATTATAAGATTTGTTTGTTTGTTTGTTTCTTAATAAAAATATTTTACTGTAGTAATTTGCTTAAATTGATGTGTAAAGGAAAGATAGTATTTTCAAACTATTCTTCCAAAAAAGAATTTGGGGATTAAGGGACAATTGGAGCACTAATATTTGTAATTAAGATGCTAAATGTCGATTCAATTATTATCGGTCATTTCAACTTCAAGTGTGATTTTGACCTCGTTTCAATTAGATTTTGTAGTCCTAATACAACTTAAATCAGCTAAATTGGATATCGAATGAGAGTTTTATGCATAATGAGTTACAATTTTAATTTCAGAAAACCCAAAACATCAAAGATGTAGTTATGCATATCTCGCTCATCCGACATCAACATTAGACGACCCTTTAAAAATGATAGAAATCCAATATAATTAAACAAGTGTTTTGAAAACATGTTTTTGAATCAAAGATTCCATAGATACCAAAATAATGAAAAACTCAATCATTGGTGTAATCGAAATTAACAAGTTAGTCGAATCAGCAAAGTAATAGATGGTTTCAACTTGTTGGTAGCAGCTAATAATAATAATAAGACTGATAATTGAAGTATCAATCTCCTGATTAGAAGACGACTTGTTGTACTGATGATTGCGTTTCTTCATCATTATTATTTGTTTTCTTAAGATTCCCAAATCATGAGGACCACATGCACTCTTATGTATCCTTATGTATAACTTCTTTAATAACTGTGTTCCGAACATCAAGGGTTGAAATAAGTTACAAAGATAATTCACAAATGCTAGAAATAGACATTTTTTTTTTTTTTTTGTTTGTTTGAGGGAGAAATAGAGATTCATTAGCATAACAATTATGATTTCACAGAGATGTAAATTTTCACAAAAGAAAAAAAAAAAGGAAAAAAAGAAACCCCTGACTGACACCCTTTGCTCATTGCTGGACAAAGTTGAAATCTTACCAAAATGATTGCCATTAATAATAAAAATAATTTGGAAAATGAGATTGATCCATGTTTGAACTACCTGCCGAACATGGACAATTGATGTTCTGTCTCCCCGACATAGTTCAATTTCAAGTCAACTAATTAAAACATGATTTACTTAATAAACAACACATACATACATACATCTCATAATATGAGTATTTGCAATTTGCATATGCTTTTGGAACCACCATCAAATAATACATTACTATTATATTATTATTTGCTCTCTCTCTCTCTCTCTCTCTCTCTCTCTCTCTCTCTCTCTCTCTCTAATATATAAATTATGCTATTACTAAGCAATTGTAAGAAGCACTTAAACAATCTGTAACTAGTCTAGTGCAAAACAGAAACACAAAGAAATGGCACTAGTTTCTGAGAAAGCAAAGCTTCTTACTTCATTACTTATCCTACAGTTGTGCTTTGCAGGATTTCACATTGTATCAAGAGTAGCACTAAACATTGGTGTTAGCAAAGTTGTGTACCCTGTCTACAGAAATATCATCGCATTGCTTCTCTTGGGACCATTTGCTTACTTCACCGAAAAGTTAGTTTTTTTATTCTTACTTTGACCATTTTTTCACTTTAATATCTAACCACAGTTGTTTCTCGTCTTCATTCACAGGAAAGAGAGACCACCTCTCACATTCTCATTATTGGCTCAGTTTTTCCTTCTAGCACTTGTCGGGTGAGTGACCTTATAGATAGATATAAACATAAACGAAAACGAAAAACATTTTTGTTTTACCTTGTCTTCTTTTAATAAACTGAAACTAATGTTCTCTGGTTTGTTCTTTCTTCTTCTAGAATCACTGCAAACCAAGGGTTTTACATCTTAGGTCTGTACTATGCATCTCCAAGCTTTGCATCAGCAATGCAAAACTCTGTACCAGCAATTACTTTCATCATGGCATATGCTCTAGGGTAAGTAGGGAGAGGAGAGAAACGGCCAATAATTAATTTATCCTTTTAACATCTTCGGGTTTTATTTTTCAGGGTAGAGAGAGTTAACATCTCAAGGATAGATGGACTGGCAAAAATACTAGGTACCTTAGCAAGTGTAGGAGGTGCAACAATAATCACTTTGTATAAAGGCCCTCCGATTTTCCAGCCACAAGGAACTAATTCAATGGAAGAGAGTGTGCTTCTCTCTTCAGACAATTTCCAGAACTGGACATTGGGTTGTATTTTTCTTCTCGGTCACTGCTTATCCTGGGCTGGTTGGATGGTCCTTCAGGTAACTAAACACTACACTAATAATTTGAATCTGATTTCATACATACCAGCAAAGTATACAAATTCATGAATCAAACCATAAACCAATTAACCGCGAATTGTTCGTGTGCAGGCTCCTATAATAAAGCAGTATCCAGCCAAACTGTCACTGACATCATTCACATTCTTCTTCGGCTTAATACAGTTCCTATTTATAGCAGCATTTGTAGAGAGGGATCCAAAGCATTGGCAAATCCAGTCGGGTGAAGAGATCTTTACAATCTTATACGCTGTAACACTCCAAACAAAACTGGTTTATAATTCAAATCCGAATGGTCTCACTTTAAGGCATACATAACTCAGCTACCTTAAACTACGTGCAGGGAATAATATCTTCAGGTCTAGTAATATCACTACAAACATGGTGTATTCAGAAAGGTGGTCCAGTGTTCGTTGCAAGCTTCCAGCCAGTTCAGACAGTACTAGTAACTGGCATGGCATTCGTAATTCTTGGAGATCAGATATATTCTGGAGGGTATGTACAAAATTTAAGTGGAAAGATTAAAATTTAGAAACACACAGTGAAATAATTCGCACTAGGATTGAGATTTGTCCGGTTCTGATTTATTTCCACTCTTGCAGAGTCATTGGAGCTGTGCTCATAATAATTGGTCTCTATCTAGTCCTATGGGGTAAAACAGCAGAGACTAGGTACCAAAGCCAAAGCCAAGACACTGAAGAGTCACTGACAAAACATCTATTACAGGGTGATAAAACTGAGATTCCATAACTTTCACATCTATCTATCTCTGTATTAAAAACTGGGCAAATAAATGTAAAACTGGCCTCAAAAGGGTTGGCAAATGTATATGTCTACTGGGTTTGTTCAAATGTTATTAATTATTCAATTTATAGAAAGTGACCACCTATGCTTGGCCTGGATGAATGCATGCCAGAGGGAAAACCAGATCAAAGAAGATATGCAATTTACTGAACCAAGTTCCTAAAAATTCTACATTATTGTCGAACATCTTTCAAATTAAAATTAAGTCATGCACAACTCAGTTCATGGGCCGATCAATCACAGAATTTAGGGCCAGACAGGGTTGGAACCAATACTCCTAAACAGCAGTAACTTTGTTTTTACGTACAGAAGGAAGAATTGAAGAACGATTGACACAATTAAATAACAAAGGCATAAATAAAGCAAGTTCATAAGAAAGCAGGAAGAGGCTTTAATGGCATGAATCTGCACATTTTTCAATGCCCCATTAAATTGTTCACATAGACTTACTAGTTACTACCCTACATTAATCAAAAACGTTGAAATAAAGTAGACCGCATACCAAGACACACATCATCGATTTAAAAACAAAAGAACACGTCTAGTTCAAAAGAGCCCAAAGTAACGAAAGGAGTAAGAAAGCACACAAGAATACGACGACAAAACAGTTTCCTCAACAGCCAAAGTCTACCTCACAGTAACAATGTCGTCAATCTTCATGATCATGCGAACGCACTCTGTAGCCAAGGTAACTGCACTTGTGCTCACCAAAAGGGGCTGCACCACATTCTCCTCCAAAATGTTAGTGATTTGTCCCTTCCTAACATTGATTCCAGCATTGATCTCACCCTGTGCGTGCCTGTTCCTCAATTCAGTGACAATCGCAATTGGGTTCAACCCTGCATTCTCAGCCAATGTGTAAGGAATGACCTCGAGCGCTTCAGCAAATGCTTTCACACAGTAACCTTCCATCCCCTGTAGCACCTTTGCCCAAGCACCCAACTGCCTCGAAAGCTCGATCTCAGGTGCTCCACCGCCAGCTATCAGAAACTTCTTGTTCACCAAACACCTAACAACGCAAAGAGCGTCATGCAAACTCCTCTCAGCCTCATCGAGCACCAAATGGTTTGAACCACGGACAAGCACACTTGTAGTCCTCCCCATTTCCTTAATCCCAGTAATCTTCACTATCTTACCACCATCTCCCAACGGCACTTCCTCCACCAAATCTGCGAACCCTAACTTCTCAGCACGGAAATGTTCGATATTGGAAATGGGCAAGCAGTTCAAAGTCTTGGTGATGAACTCAATCTCATCCCTTTCAATGTCTTTAATGACCAAGATCTTAGCCTTGGCCAAATATTGCCAGGACAAGTCGGTAACAGCATCCCTTAAGATACTCTTCT